ATTGATTCTGTAATCTGGCGCTTATATGCGGTTTCTCCGCACGCAAGAAAGCTGCATGACCGAAGTTTGCTTGATGTGCTCAAGCAACCAAACTAGCTTATGATATATGAAAATAAGTTAAGAATCTAGAATCATTTGGATTATGCACGTTTGTAACTCTTTCATTTCGACTGATAGTGTCTAATGTGGATATCCCCGGGTTAATAAAGCCTGAAGCTCGTTAGTCACTTTATATACTGATGCATGCATACACATACAGAAGCAGGCACATGCGCGTGTTCATGGGTTGACATTTGATATGCTCTAACCTGCATATACTTGAAAAATATAATTATATGTATAGACCTGTTTGCTCAAATTATTCACAATTACGATACTCGGCTATGGTGATATTCGGCATATGACAGACGAGGCTTTAGCTAGTTTTCATCGAACTCGAAGGAGATACCTTCGAGGATAGCGTCAACCAGATTGTTCGAATAGTGCCAAATTGAAGCTGGCAACAAGGTAGCATTGACGGATTCCAATACTCATTTTCATGCAGTTTGCCCATTAAATCAGCTGATGATGCCTTCTGAGAGGCACTCATGACTTAAACTCACCGCCTTTTCTTACTCATTGCTTTTGTAAGGTTTTTTTGTATTAAAATGGCTAAACTCTCACGCTATTCATCATATGTCAAACTAGGCTATCTTAGTGATTCATCAGGAGTCTAGAACAGTACATAAATGAGTACCACGAAGCTGGCAGTATATGAATCGTTTCTACTTGGTTTCTATTTGATATAAAAGTAGGCCTAAAACATTGTTCCCATTCTTCACTACGCCCACAAGCTATCCTTAGAGTTGCACATGAGTATTTTTCCAGTAATTCGTCCTACTTTCGTCGAAAATGGCTCACCTCTTCAGAGGATGGTCATATTGTAACTCGTCGTAAATTCTTATGATTGTAACCTGTTATTTTGTCGCAAAAATTTCCCATTCACTTTCGGGAATGCAGTTTATTTTCTTTAGGCAGTGACATGCATTCGGTAAGCCTATATTTTTGACTTGTTGAGGCCTTATGCAATAGTTAATGATTCGAATACGGCGCTGAGCCTTTGTGGTAATAATGGTGCTGATGCATTTGTGGCTATTAATTACTTTAATGGGAAACCGATTTATTTATTTACTTAGCTAATAGTAATCAATTACCAGATATAGGTGCATGACTTGGATGAGTCGTCATTGGCGTCTGTATGGATTATTCCGGAAACCAGACAATATATATTTAGCATTTCCTCCATGTGAAATTCCAAATCCAAAATGGAGGTCTAAATTACAATCCACTTCTCCTTTTTTCCATACAGCCTTGCACACAGAACTTATGATTACTTCACTGTGCATCTATTTTCTCGTTGCGTTCCCACATTAATGTCTGTTGCATACCTTCCATTCATCCGTACCACTTGCATTGCCAGCTTGATCAGCCCGAGCCATGCCACATAAGCTGTCTGGTTTTCGGCCCGCTTGACGAAGGCCCCTATGGGCCGGCTCAGATTTTCTCTGATCTCGGATTACGTCCATCACTCTCCAGTTCTCCGGGCCCCGATGTCTCTTGTGAATTTCGTCGTAAGTCGACTAAATCTTCAGAACAGACTGCAAATGATATTCCTTCAGCTGAACAGCTGCTCACTCCAGCAGAGCAACTCTGTCAAGCGCTTTACGTCGTCGACGCAGCTGGCTGGCTCTATCAGTTGAGTCCCGACCGTCGATTCAAGGCCACTCGAATACCATTATCTAGAGTGCCCCATTGCTCTATACGATCATGATTTGATAATTTCACCATTTACTCTCGGATCATGCTTTGTCGGCTGAAAGATTTATTCAATCCTCATCTCCTTTCAATAGAATTCCAGCCAAATGTATCTCCTTTTCTATTTGAATGAGCAGCGCACAAGGTTGATGCAGACCTATTCAGCCTCACAATCCGTCGTAAACTTCAACACAACTTTGCTTCATACTAGAAAGTGAGCTAACCCACGGCAACTATGTTCCTAGGCTTTTTATCGTCAGTGTTCTGTCAAAGCTTTACCTCTTGGGACTTGCCTTCTTCCTCTTATGCATCTTTTAGAATATTAGGAAGTTGTATAAATTTCATGCATTTGCAAATAGTAATTCATTCATCATTTTTTCGTCATTTTCTTGTTTTCACTTTTTTCTATATCTCCCAGAATTTTCAGTTTCCAGCTTTTGTATTAAATTTTCTATTCATGTTTTTCCTTACTCGATCAAATCTATGGTCGAC